CCACCATGCCCGGCTAATTTTTGTATATTTAGTAGAGATGAGGTTTCACCATGTTGGCCAGGCTGGTCACAAACTCCTGACCTCAACTGATCTGCCTGCCCTGCCTTCCAAAGTGCTGGGATTACAGGCGTGAGCCACTGCACCTGGCCTATACAAGACTATCTATATATATTTACATACATTTTTATTAAAAGTCATGCATCAAAGATTGTGGAGAAAGCCTAACATCTCAATAGTGCATATTTAGTTAAGAAAATCAGGTTCAACTCTATATTATTTCACTATATAGTACCTTTTACAGGAACAAAATCAGATCTAAGAGTAAAGTCTGATAAACTTCAACTAAGACGCAAAATTACAACCAAGTACTTAAGCAATAAATCTGAGCATTTATCAGGTTATTTTTTTGCATTTCTAATGAGTTCTTTTAAAAAAAAAGTCAATTATCACTATTATATATGTTCTTCTTTGTATAAGGAGTGCTTCAGCGTCTTTATAACATTTATGAAATAAGAACGAGAGGACATTTTTAAAGGAATTAAAGAAACATTAATTCCTTCATAAATGTATAGTGCTTAAGCTCTGCTTTAAAGGATCTTTCCATGTGCTCTTGGGTAACCACGTAGGGTCTGAATTCATAGTATAAATATCAATAAATGTTGCAATCACAATAGTAATTCAAGTTCCATGGAATAAGTGAGAAACCAAAATGAAGTAGGAATAGGTCATGATGTATTTTCATATGGGATGCATTTCATTGAGTGTGCAATGATCAACTGTACCAACTCTGTTTGATCAGATTTTTTTCTGAGATACGCAAATACAATTTCCATCAGTATACACTGATAGATTACATGTTATGGTCCAAATTATTATTCTTATTTGAGATAGGGTATTGCTCTGTTACCCATGCTTGAGTGCAGTGGTACGATTATGGCTCACTGCAGCCTTATCTCCTGGGCTGAAGCGATCCTACCACCACAGCTTCTCTAGTCGCTAGGACTACAGATATATATGCCACCATGCCTGGCTAATGTTTTTATTTTTTGTAGAGACAGAGTCTCACTATGTTGCTCAGGCTGGTCTTCAACTCCTAGGCTCAAGCAATCCTTCTGCCTCAGCCTCCCAAAATGCCAGGATTATAGGCATGAACCACTGCACCTGGCACAGATTTTAAAAATGTTAATACATCTGTGAAAGAGCAATGAAAGTCACCAGGAGAAGATGGCTTGCTACCAAAACTCCTTATTTCCTTTAAGAATAAAGGTGTGAAAATTCAAGACTCAGTTTTATTTATGTTGTCCTGGACTATCACGTTTTGGTCAAAATGTTGATTTTTTCCCCCTTTAACAAGAGTTAGACTTGTGGCATTATAGCAACATATTAATACAATTATATATAGGTGTATGGATGTATCCTCTTCTAAGAGTTTACATAAGGAATTCTGAAAACAGCTTTCATGGATGAAACAAATGCTATTATAGTAATAATAAAACTTAGCAATGTTCATATATAAAGAACAGTACTACTGAACATATTATCTTATATTCATCTTAAGTAACAACTGCCATTTAGAATCTTTTGCCTAGCTATAAAGACTTTTAAGCAGTTTGCTTTAAAACATGAATTCCAGAAATGTCTACAAGTTGTGACTTAAAAATTCCATTGGAAATTTGAGAGTAGATGTGAAAATTTTCTGAATTATAGGATAATTATTTTTTAAAAAGATATACTCCCATGTATGCCTACAGTCAGTGTTACTGGCAATAAGCTAAAAGGCTGAAAGGTGAGGTTACTTCTCCACAAATATGTGTGCGTGTGTTTCCTCCTTTCTCTTTATATGTGCATGTCTCTGGGTGTCTAAAGTCTTCATATTTTTCACTGTAAGGGTATTTATCCAATGCTGGCCCCCATGCCTGCTTTTGCTTTCCCCAATGACAAAATGCCTTCTCTAAAAAGTAATTGTGAAACTCTAAAGGGGAGAAAAGGGGTGGATATACACATTAAAGTATAATTATACTTTATAGAAGTCAGTGGAGTTTTCACATGATGAATATGTATTTTATTTTATCCCTAACTTGTACAGTAGTAATTGCAATAAAAAGGTGACAAATGGACAAAGCCAGAAATAAAAAAAAGTCTATCAGTTGAGCCACAGATTTCCAGTGGGGGCAGAAATATGAAAAGCTAAAGGGGAATTTCTGAGAAAAGAGGAAATAAGAAAATAATACAGCGCAGGAGACAGAAGTCATAGAAGCTGATAATCAAAAGAATAGGGAGATTCAGCTAGTGAAGATACAGAATGTGCAAATGCAGAATGAAAAGAATCTGCAAGGAAGGCCAAGAGCAAAAGTTAGAATTAACAGAAAACAAGATTTCAAAGGCAAAACCCTAGGAAACACCACCTGTCTTGGTGTCTACAGTGACCAAAGATTTTTAAAGAAGCCAAAAGGGTTTCCCCTAACTGGGAAAGATTTTAGTTGTCCAGTTGACCAATGACTAGGAGAAGGAAGGTTAGATCTAGCAGTAGGGAATAGGGCATAACGAAAGAGAGGAGGGATGCAAGGTGAATGACAAAAGCAAATAGTGTTTACTGCTACAATTTCAAGATTGATTGCACTAGGCCGGATGCAGTGGCTCATGCCTGTAATCAGAGCACTTTAGGAGGCCAAGGCAGGCGGATCACAAGGTCAAGAGTTCAAGACCAGCCTGACCAACATAGTGAAACCCCAACTCTACTGGGCATGGTGGCAGGTGCCTGTAATCCCAGCTACTCAGGAGGCTGAGGCAGGAGAATCACTTGAACCTGGGAGGCAGAGGTTGCAGTGAGCCGAGATTGCGCCATTGCACTCCAGCTTGGGCAACAGAGCGAGACTCCATCTCAAAAAAAAAGATTGATTGTCCAATATGAAACACGCGATACACTACACTAAAATGTGTGCAATGTGTTCCTTGAATTCAGTTAAGGCACTATTTTTATGGGTCACTGACTCTTGAAATAAGAGGTTCCCTACATTATATCCAAAGTTAAAGAAGTCAAACAGCGCATAAAAGGACTAGCAAAGCTTTCAGTATTTTGTGCCACATGGATGCCTCTATTAAAATCAAACACTAGAGAGGTTTACTTTTGTATGGAATAATCATATGAAATTTTAATGGTAGCCTTTATTATTTCATTTTCCATACTTTTTCAGTTCTTTGCTATATATTTTAGATAAGATACGGCAAAAATTTAATCCAAAAACAGTAGGACTTAATGTGTCTTCAGTAAGCAGTGCTCATGACGATAATACCTTCAGTAAGTGGCTGAGAAAGCAAGATTCTGAGATTAGTGCTGAGCCTAGGCCTCTGACTTGTCAACCAAAAAAGTTACTTCTCCCTTTAGTATAATGAATTGCAGAAGTACAGTTAAACAGTTGTCTATAAGGGTTTATTAGCAGGCATATGATCTGGTGGGTGAGCAGAGATACTGATATTTCCTTTGCCAGTGACCAAAATATTTACAAATTTCATAAAATGGAAAAAACTTTCTAAAAAATTCATAAGATCAGTTCACAAATTACCAGTTCAGCTGGAACACTGAATAGTAGAAATGACAAAAGATTTGTTCTTATGGTTGATAAAAAATTTATATCAGGGCATTCAAGTAAAGTTATTTTCTATGTTCTGATTTAATGAATCATGTGAGTTGTATCTGGTTGGGTGACACAGATTCTGGCTCACTGAAGCCTACTCTAATGCTTCTCAGCACAGCCTTCCTAGGGACAGTAAAGCCAGAATAACATGTCAGACTGAAGTAATATCAAAGAAGGAGAAAGCAGGGCTGGAGAGGCTATGAGATTGATTCATAACACTTTTTGACCTGTGAGTGTCTGGTAAGTTTTCCATGTCCTATGGGCTTCAATGACCTCTAACAAGCACCAAGCAGCAACAGTAATGCAATAATGAATGATCCTCAAAAGAAGAATTTTACAATTCAAGCTGAAAAACGCTACACTTATTAAATAGTTGTAACCCTATTGATAAACAGCCTTAGAAACCACTAGTGGTTTCTTAAAAGCTGAATGAGTATTAAATGTTTTATATATGCTTTTGTAGTAAGCATCTGGTTTAGTTCCTTTAAACCTGTCAGATTTTAAAATTGTACATTAATTTAAAAAACTTTTTTGATGCTAATAAAGTATGTTGAAAAACAAAATAATATTAGATATGTAAAAATACAGATGTAAAATAATGAAGCCCATTCAATGTTAATACAATGGACTACTAAAAATGAAACTAAAAGACTATTCTGTATATACTCCACATGAGGATGTTTGTCTCTTTCAAAGATGATAACAGGCTGGGTGTGGTGGCTCATGCCTATAATCCTAGCACTTTGGAAGGTAGAGGCAGGTGGATCTCTTGAGTCCAGGAGTTTGAGACCAGCCTGGGCAATATAGCAAGACACTGTCTCTACAAAAAATATAAAAATTAGTCAGGCATGGTGGTGCGTGGCTGTAGTCCCAGCCACTAGAGAGGCTGAGGTGGGAGAATTGCTTGAGCCTGGGAGGCAGAGGTGGCAGGGAGCCGAGATCACGGCAATGTACTCCAGCCTGGGCGACAGAGCAAGACCCTGTCTCAAAAAA